TAGAGATGAGATCTTGCTATGTTGCCCAGGCTGGTCTCAAACTCCTGGCCTCAAGTGATCCTCCCACCTCAGCCTCCCAAAGTGCTGGGATTGCAGACATGAGCCACCTCACCCTGTAACCTCTTTTGTATCTTTATCATGAAAACACCATATAATGGGGCACTACTGGGCATCTCTTTCGACATCCAGCTCAAGGACATCACATTGGCAACTCGAAATCAGCCATGATGGGAGTATTTACACCGTGGAAATTAGTAAACATTACAAATCGGCTCTATTTTTAAATAACTTATTCAACATTTCCCAGCACACCACTGCCGCAGCCCCAGGCAGCAGACAGCCCCAGGGTTCCTCAGTCTCCTTCCCTAAACAGAGCCCCCCCAACCCCTATTTCAGACAGGAAGCTGGGCTTTATTCCCCCCATCTCTGAAAATGCTTTGACTCCAGGATCTTCTAAGAGCTTCACTCCTGGCAAATGGCAACATTTCACTCCTACTCATTACTTTGCCTTTTTGTTTTGATTTTGGTCCATAGAGCTATTTGCTTTGTTCTTGAGCCCAACCGTGTCCTTGGGTTTTCTCTTTTCCATTTTATCTGTCACAGCTGTAAGTTTGGAGCAGATGAGGCACATCAAATGTCGAACATGCTCTGCAACCTTGATTAGAACTCCACAAACATCATTTTTTATAGACATATAGCTTCCATCACACAGATGTTTATGTGGGCCTCAAAAGGTTTCCTTTCGTCTCCTTCGTCTCTTCCCAAAATCAATCATCCTATCTTCCTTCTCTTAATCCCTAGTGCTTTCTTGTACTACTTACAGCAAACATGTTGATCATGTATTGTACATATGAATTATCTTTGAGAAGATTCTAGATGGCACATATGCTGCCTTTGTATTTATTAAACACCAAATGATACCATGCATTTGGCACATTAACTACAATAATATACTTAATATATGACTGTTCACAGAATAAAACATGGGATCCCCCCCTACCACTTAGAAATCCCTGGCCCCCTAATGTCTTTTTCCCTTCCCTGCAGGTGTCCGAGCCGTGTTCTCAGGCCACTACCACAGGAACGCTGGGGGCACCTACCAGAACCTGGACATGGTGGTGTCGTCGGCCATCGGATGCCAGCTGGGCAAAGACACCCACGGGCTCCGCGTCGTGGTGGTCACCGCCGAGAAGATCGTCCACCGGTACTATAGTTTGGATGAGCTGAGTGAGAAAGGAATAGAAGACGATCTGATGGATTTGATGAAGAAAAAGTGATCGCCCTTGATGATCAGTCACTTTTCACTTCCAAGGTTTTTTATTTTGCCAGGAACAGCAGCCGCACACAACCCCTTGTTGAAATAGAAAAGTAGACCAGGCAGCTTGGTGAATTTATGTCCTTCTGTATAAATCAGAGAGCTACGTCCTATCTTGAATAATATTCAAAATGGAACTGCACTCTGGAAATAATTTTTTTAAATGATACTAGACTCTCTCCGCACAGGTTTTTGAATAAATTCCCCTAATGGTGTGTTTCTCAACTCTGCTTTTGAATTAGATTGTTTTCTGGTAGCATATGATCAATGTCTACCTGTCAAGCTCAAGTCCAACGTGATATCCAAATGTGATCTTTGATAATTCCTTGAACAAACTGTATCTGATTGTACTAAATTGTGGTCTTGATTCCAAAAATGCCAGGCAAAACAAAGGTCATCTCCTTTCCTTCCTATCAAAACAAACAGCCGTCTCTCCCATTACCAGGGCCATGCGAACTTATTTTAACAAGGAACCCAGTAGCCAACATTTACTGTTAAATTCCGAGACTCCTATTATCGCTGATGATAGAAACAGAATACAGTTGATACAAGTCATGTCTTGAAATTGCCTTCCTGGTGCCTGCCAAAGTCACCTTTGCACATAAATTGGTCATTTACGAAAATCTCATGCAAGAGACCAAAACCAAGACCCTAAAATGCCGCCCGTGCTGTCGCTTGGAAGCACATTTTGAGTTTGTTCGCGGTCACATTCTGGCGCTGTAGCAGCTCCGCAGATGGGCAGTTCTGTGGGATGGGAATGTCCCTCCAATTATGAGACTCTCGACTGTGTCGACTTTGACAGAAAAAGTGGGAATTTATGCAGGGTTCTCTAAAGAAAACAAAGCAGAAAATCTGGTGGCAAAAAACAGTGATTTCAGCCACATCATCTAAATTGGCAACGACTTGGATTAAATGCACCAGTACGACATCGCTTGACAAAAGAGTGTGGGTTATTTAAAGCCAGCGTTGTTTTAATCTACTGCACCTTCTCAGCAGCTCCTGATCATAACTTCGTGATGTCATCTTTCTCGGCAGGTGTCCTGGTGGACAGGTAACCTAGGTACCCCGAATCCTGGCAGCAAGACCTGACAGCATCACGCAACAGCATTCAGCAATCCCAAAACAACTTTGAAAACTTACTGGTTACCAATGAACCGCAAAGTCCATGACATTAAAACACTTTCTCGTTAAAGTTTTAGTCAACGTAGCAAAACCGTGAGAGATCAAACAGATGATTGAATTTGTAAATCATAAGGAACAAAAGATGAAAAGTTAATTATACGACAGATTGGTGACATGCCATAGCTCGTTGTTATGTGGTACAAGAAAATTAAAATTGTTCAAAACTAGAACACTCTCCTTTCAGTGTTCTGCTGCATTCTTTTTTCGTGCTCGTTTTTCTTTACTGCAGGTGCGGGGATAAAGGGTCGAGGAGTTCAGTCAGGGGCATAACTAACACGCCACACATTCGAGACTTGTGACGTGGTGACACTTGGGTGGTAAACAAGGAGGGCTTCAGTCCTTGCGTCTTAACTCTGCCCTCTGTCTTGGAAAATGTTTTCCACGGGAGAGAGGTTGTACCAACTCCGCCCATGGCAACACACCACGTATGTGACACACCTTTGACCGCCTTTCACGGTGAGAACCCAGGGTTAGCTGGACGCCTTGGTGGAGTTGCAAAGCCTGGGCAAGCCTCGGAAGCCCCTTCCCCGATTGCACCAGGTTTGGGTTGGTATAGCCTGAGCAAAGAGCAGATTGTTCCAGGCAGAGAGTTTTTACTGGAGGAGATTTGGAAACCGAACTGAACCATAATGAGTCAGAGGACACAGCTCTGTCCACAGCACTAAGTGCTCTCTCAGGTGACACTTCCCCCTTCTCTATAGCTCCCACCCCAGGGTGTAGGGAACCAGCAGCTCTCTCAAGGCAGTGAGTGTCACCTCAGGCTTTCCTTTCCCATAATCACTTTAACTGGGGGGAGAAAAGAAACAAAGCCTTCCCCTTTAAGAGGAAGCTTTTTTAAAGTGATCTCAAACTGGATTGTCAAGGCTCAGAAGAGTGAGTTTGTGAATGAGGAGATGATCATCTAACTGCATTTACTTCTACAATAAATAAGTGTCTCCAGTCTTCAGTCAAGTTTCTCCTGAGGTTAGGGAGAAGAGGGGCGGAGGGTATCTAGTAAACTTCATGGAACCAGCAAATAGAACATTTTATCTATCTTGCGATTTTCAGTTCTATGAGACTGTCAGTTGCTAACAGGGTTTCAAGGCAAACATGAGTTTTAAGCCTAAATAAGACTAGGACCATTTACCTTATATACCTGTAACAGACACTGAGGTATATATAACTGTAGAAACTATGCACACATAATCAGTTTAATATTACAGAGTATATTCTAATGTAAAATCTTCTGAAAAAAGGTAGCAAAAACATATTTGCATTTACTGGAACACTTAATACCTTAGGGACAAGTAGTGCCTAAAACATTTTGTGTAGTCACAAAATTAAGTAGTAATATTGAGCTAGAAGAAAAAGATTTAGGAATAAATTGTCAAGGCAAGTTCTATTACAAGCTTTCTGTAATAGGCATCAGGGGTTTCTTATCCAGATAACCGTAACAGTTTTGATTGCACATGCAAGAGATGGTAGTTGACAGGTAATATTGATTTTTGTGTAACTTCATAAAATATTCTTATGCCATTGGAGAGCTCTTAGGTATTTTTCAATGTGTATATACATATATGTGTAGTAAAAATGGAGGATTCTTTTCTTGGAATAACAATGACTTCTACCATTTTTCTAGAAAATATCTTACTGACTAAATTCCCTTTTTCCTACAATGAATTTTTAAACATTAATGACTGCACATACATATAAATACATAGATTGGATTTTTCCTTTAGGTTTTATCTATGTAATAATGTTGACTGAATGTGAACAATCTTGTTACCCTTCATTATTCTGTTCCGACAGTTGCCTTCAAAAAGTAACTGTCTTCACGAAAGGGGTTTTGCAGCACACAGAGTCAAGTTCAAACGATGAACAGGCCCCACCTGCTCTGCCCCCATCCGCCTCCCACGCCTCACCTCACAGCACCTTTGCGGACCATTCCACGTGGACTGGCCTTTGCACTTGCTGTTTTCTCTGATAGGAATTGGCTTCTCATCATCATTTTGATCTCAGCTCAAATGTCACTCCTGAGAGTGGCCTTTCGCACCACCCTATGTGAGGTTACCCTCCTTGTCGCCAGGCCTCGCAATCCCTTTCTCTTGCTTATTTTCTGCATAGCACATCACTGAGATATGTGCTTGCTTAATGATCTTTAAGTGTAACCCCCACCCACCCGAATGCAAGCTGCAGACAGCAAGGACCATGTCTGCCCCATGTGCCACTCTGTTCCCGGTGCCTAGAACTGCCTGATGGCATAGAGTGGCTTCTCGAAGAATACTTGGCAATGAATGTGGAATGAATCAGTCAGTAAAGCTATATAGCAACGGCAATCACATACTGAGTATCGATGCAAGCACTCGCTATAGGGCAGGAAGTAAGGAAATAGGCCGTACTCCTAAGCCTTGTGGCTCTTTTGGGATTGTCTTCAAAGTTAGGTATCGTCAGTGGGTCAATAAATAGCAGCATCTCTGTTGTCTTTGGTTCTCAGCTCACAGTGAAGAAATTTGGGGTAATAACTAAGTATCCTTGACTTATAATTCTGTGTTATCCTTGACATAAGTATCCTTGAGCAAATACTGTGCAGTCACCTAAGCAGGTGAGCCAGAGAAGGGGCTGACTCTAGACTGAAGGCTATGTGTGAACGTGTAGAAGAGATAGCTCAAAATACAGGTGCGGGGCTCAGGAAAGAGTGAAAACCGCATCGTGGGAGGGCTGTCCAGGGAGGTGACGGGAATGAATAAGATTCCTGGGACAATCTAGCGGCACCGCGAGACACCTAAGGACAGAACCTTAAAATAGAGCTTATGGGAATATCTTCATTTAAGTAAAAGAAGAGAAAGATGAAATCACAGAAGGAGTAGTTTTGAAAACTTCAGACTGGTGTACCCTGAACGGAAAAGACAAAGAACTGGCCTCACCTGCAGTTCAGTGGTTTAAGCCCCCACAGACCAACCCTCCTTTCTAACTTCATAAACTCTGAAGAGTGAATACAAGCGAGGGACACAAAACTTCAGAGAACATTGGCTTGAAAGTGAGTTCCTGTTTCTCCCCACCCCCCACTTTGCCCTGAGGGCGAACCACAATTGCAGAGGGGTGCACCAGGGGTGAGTAAGGATTTTATCAAAACTCACCATCTGTTGGACCAGAGAAACCAGAGGAAGAATCCCAGGTTACTGGAATCCCTGGACTGAGGAATCCCAGAGGGGAGAGAGCTGGGGATGGGAGTCCTCTAATCTTGTCTATGAACTTCACACGAATCTCTGGCTTACCTGAAAGCATGCATGAGCAGGACAGACAGGGCAGCACACGCTTAAAGGATTGAATGGAGATTTGAATCACTGCCCAGAGCAAGCAACAGAGAGCTTACAACTTGAGTCTGATCAAGTTAATTGCCCACAAAAGCAAAAACCTCGACACTCTTCAGAGGAATATAACAGAATCTCAATTTTCCACAACTTAACACTCACAATGCCCAGGATACAACCCCAAATTGCTTGACATGCAAAAAAAAATTTTTAAAAGCAATAAAAACAACAACAAAAAAGAAAATATAAGTCACTCTCAAAGGAAAAGACAACCAGCCCCAAGATGCCCCAGGTATTGGAATTATTACTCAAGGACAATAAAGAAGCTATTATAACAATGCTTTATGAAGTAAAGTAAATTATGCTTAATATGAATGAAAAGAAAGGATTTTCATGGAACATGTAAAAAAATAAAGTGGAAATTTCAGAACAATAGCTGAAATTTTTTAATTCATTGGATGGGCTTCATAGCAGAATGGAGAAGAGAGAGGAGAGAGTCAGTGAGTATGAAGATAGGACTCCGTGTTGGCTCCTCCGTGGCTCTGTTGACAAGATGGCTGCTTAGCCCCAGCCATCGCATCCTCAGAGAACCACATTCTAAGACAGGAAGAAAGGGGTGGAGGGCTGAGCCTTTATCTCTGGAGTTGCCCCTCAGGTCTTGTTGGCCAGAACCAGAAATGCCAGTGGTACAACCCAACGCTCATTTGTCACAGACAGCAAAATAGCCCGGCAGGATGAGGGTTTGGGACCATCTGTGATTTGCGAGAGCCTCACTGCGTACAGCGAGGGCCATGACACAACCCGCTGAAGAAATGAATAGTGAGGAAGAGAAGGGAATAAGCAACGAGCAGTTTCTCCAGGGCACTCGGAAGGGGAGTAGACCTAGGGTTCATGGATGGAGAGAAGTGTGGGTTGAGGATGTTAACAGAGGAGGAAGAAATCGAGAATGGGGGTAGAAACAGACATGGGGGTAAGTAACTGATGCAGCAAGGACATGGGCAAGGGAAAGGAACGGGCATGGGAGCACGGCTTCGGTAGGGAGAAGAGACACGTCCTTCCAGAGACCTGCACGGGGAGGGTGGGAAGAGAGATGGTGTTGGGAGAATGATGGAGATGTCCAGGGCTAACTGATCACTCGTCTGATAGGCACATGTCTGTTCCCTGCAGCTCCGTCTCCCGGAGGCTCCCTGTGCCTCACCGAGAGGCAGGCGGGGCTTTCTGGCTGTGTGCGCGGTTCACCGTCGTCTGTCAGGCAAGAGCCCCGCCCGTATGGAGCTGGCGCCACCTGCCTCAGCTGAACCTCCCCAGCTGGACCACACGTATGTGCTCTGGGCATGAGAGGGACGGCAAATCCACCGCGTGGCCTGCGACCGGGACGTCTAAAAGTCTCTCCTTGCTCTTCCACGCTGTCCTTTCACAAAGACATTAGGTGATTTCACCTCCTAACATCTTTGAAAGACCGTCTGGATTTGCTCTTTTAAAAAAACTACCAAACTGGAACATTGTACCCTTAAACCACGTATTTTAGCTGTCACCAATTTCCTGAAAAGCCATTGAAATGAAATTGCATCGCACTTGTCACATTGGCCTGCACTTTCCTTTTCTCTTATGTTGGTGACACGATCAGGAGAGCCTAAGGGCAGGAACAGCGTCTTGGAGCCACTGTGTTCCCAGCGCCCGGCCCAGGGCCCGACCCTCCTTATAAATATTTGATTCCCTGTGGATACACTGCACTCAGCAACCCTCCCACACCGTGACCCCTCCCTCCAATCAATTATTCATCCATCCCCAAGACATTTGCCAAGTAGGCACCACGCCCCGTGCCAAGCACCTGTGAACAGAGAGCAGCCTTTGTCTTCAGCAAGACAATCTAAATACCATGTTACCTATGTCCCGGGCGGCCTTCTCTGCTCCCCCCTGTCCCTGGGAAACCTCTACACCAATAGCATTCATTACCGTTTTGTGATGACAGTTTCCACATAGACCATTTTTAAGCCAAGAAGAACTTCTGCCGACTGGACAGGACACCATTTCCAAAACATATTTCATCTCTCTTCCAAAAGCACTTTCTCTTTTATTTTTCCCTGTGTCTTGACAGGTGGCAACAGCCCCACCCATGGGCCTTAA